TGGTCGATGAGGGCCCGTTCATTCCACCCTGCATCTGCCGCTAGAGTCCGGAACTCCAGGGCGAACGCCTGTGCGCTCCTCCTCCCCTGTCGGAGGTGGAATATACGCTCCCCCGCCGCTTTGCCCTCAGGTGGATGATCGAACACGGCCTTGAAGCGACGGGAGAACTCCGCGTAGGAGATGGTGGTGGCGTCTATCCTCCTCCACTCGGCGTTGGCCCATTCCAATGCCTTGCCCATGAGACAGGAGATGAGGGCGGAAACGCTCTCGTGTCCCGAGGGCACCGGGTGTACAGTGGCTAGGTAGAGCTCCACCTGTAGGAGGAACCCCTGACACCCGGCAGCTGTACCGTCATACGCCCTCGGGAGTGAGAGCCGAATCCCCCTGGGTTCCGGGCCTGGGACGGGCGGACCGACCGATGGTGGTGGTAAGGTAGGTGGAGGTGTGGGTACCCCTCTGGCCTCCAAACGGTGCAGGGTGTTGATGACGTCCTGCAGAGCTGTCCCCAGTTGTCGGATCTGGTCATCCTGGCCGCGGACATGTTCCTCAAGCGACCCAGGTGCTGCTGCTCCTGCTGATTCCATATTTAAGGTGTGTAATTCTGTCACGAACTCTGATGCGGATGTGGTGCGAATCAATAGCAGGACACAGGAGCTCAGTTAATCCAGACTTTACTAGAAAATCCAAAATGATAACATGGGTCAAACAACCCGGAGGCGAAACATACGCTACAGTGCATAAAGTACTCCCAAACCGAACTGCGCACGAACAATAGTGCGACGGTAAAACAAAGAGAGTCTAGCAAACAGCACTGCACCAAGCGACAGGAAAACAATTACACACAACACAAGACAGAAACCACGAGAACGTATAGGACACATAATCAACACTAAACATGAACAGGTGTACTAAACAGACCAAACCAATCAAACATAGAAAACAAAGAACGGTGGCAGCTAGTACTCCGGAGACGACGACCGCCGAAGCCTGCCCGAACAAGGAGGAGGAGCAGCCTCGGCCGAAACCGTGACACCAGGCCTCTACTTCCGGTCTATACTTACTATCTACACCTTATGGACAGAGTTATTTTTACAATAATTCTATTATATATATATATATATATATTATATATATATTTTTTTTGCTCCTGAACTTCTACTCTCAACCTCTCCGATCATTTTCATGATGTCCATCCGGTTTGCTTCTATATGCCATATCTTTCTAACTGTGCTCTTTCCCAAAAGCTCCCAACATACAACCTATATAAATCTTACCAAATGTTGCTTATTTCGGTCAGAAGCTATCGTGGCGAGGCGGAATACAAGTGCTAGTTAACAGGGCCGGTTCCATTTTTGTTTTTTTACTATACAAGTGGCACTCGCCTTGCCACGCTAGCTTTGCCCTCATGTGGGTGCTAGCAAGCAAGCTAGGTAGTGCGCTTCAATTGGTCACTCATGTCACTATATCACAGGGGATTTGCCTAAAGTTGAGCTTTCCCCAACTTTAGTCCTGCCCTGTTCAGCTCCCTCGCCCATGCTCGCTTCGCTCAATGGTCCCCCGCCCACTGCGCTTCTCTTCGCTTCTCTTCGCTTTCACCTTCCATTGAATTTGAATTGCTTCCGATGTTTCACCATGCGATGCCGCTCTATATTAATACAAGGTGATAGCTAACGTTAGTGAAGGGTCGCAGCTAACACAAAACAAATCGAAGATGTTGGCTAACATTTGCAAACTATATCCCTTGTTGAACGCACCTCTGCCCTACATTTTGTAATAGGCCTACACAAGTTTAATATCTTTACGAAGCTTAGACTCTGTGCTTTATTCATTTTTTTATTAATTCTGATATGTTGTCTACTGTTTATAATTTCTTTCTAATCAAATAATGTTAGTGTGTGAGGAGAGAGCCAAAGCCCCTAGAGCGTAGAGTGCCCTTGCCTCGCGAGGCCTGCAGTGGCGTGTCCTACGCATCACAGAAACAAACACACACATTCACACACAGATACAGAAGCTGATGCATTCTGACTGAGCTGAGGCATCTCATTTACAGCAGGGCTCTTGCCTCCAGACACACTTTCCTCCAGACTCACCTGAATCTTCATTACTGGAGAACTCCATAATAGCTCAGTCACAACTGAAAATGAAGATTAAAATATATCTGTTTATCTTTGTTTTCAATCTCATGTGTGTGGTGTGTGACAGAGAGAGAGAGCTAGGGGTTCACTGTTTTGTGATACCATTTTCTTATTGGGCATTCATGACAGTTGAAGTACTGGCTACTACTGTAATTTACCAATCAATATTCTCTATTTCTTTGTTTCCTCAAAGGCCTGTGATATTTATTTATTATTTATAGAAGTGCATTGTTGTGTTTATGGCAGAAATGTTTTTCATATCAGCCCTGTATCTTCTTGGGAAATCCAAGTTTACACCATTTGGACCTTAAAAATACATTTTGTGAACAATATTTAATTGAGATTAATAGGCTTACCGTACCAATACAGTTTAGCATACATGCAATTAAGGAATCTATATTCGATAAGTGCCTTTTTAATTGTGCGCAGCCGTGTAACCTGATGCTTGTGCTTGAGTTTCCTGCTTACTTCAGTACACTCCCTTTGTCATCAGCCTTCACACAGTGAGAACTGCAGCATTGGTCAGAGCAGATCTCACACTGATAGTATCACCGAAACCTACCGGTGCAGTCTGTCTGTCGGCGCATTTCCATACAAGATTTACCCTGTTATCATTACTCATTGTGTATTTATTATTACCTTTATTATTACGTGTTTTACTTTTCTATTATTTCTCTATTTACTTTCATTTTTGAGAAGGGCCCATAAGTAAGCATTTCACTGTTAGTCAACACCTGTTGTTTACAAAGCATGTGATTAATTAAATTTGATTACATTTTTTATTGATCCCAGTGTTTTAAGTTTTAAGTTTTAATGTTACGTGTACATGTACAGTTTAATGCCTTTCTTGCAAGCCCTTTTACAGCAAGGGTCGTTAGTGCATTTTAATAGACAAACAAAAATAAGCCTGTTTCATTTACATTTACATTTTAGTCATTTAGCAGACGCTCTTATCCAGAGCGACTTACAGTTAGTGAGTGCATACATTTTCATATACATTTCCCTTTCAGTGGAGGATGGGGAAGATTCATCTGAATGCACAGCTGGCGGAAACTGGATTACACATTGGCAGATGTATCACGGAAAACCTGTGTAGTCTGTGCATATTATAGTGTGTGCATATTTCGCTTTATTTAATGTACAGAAGGCCTACATAAAAATATATATTATATAATATATTCAAAAATATATATAAATCAATGAAGAAATGTAAACGATAGCATTAAAATCAATGAATGCCACAGAACATGTATTCAGAGAACATCAATTGATTGCCCAAATGGAGTTCCAATGAACAAAGGGTTGTTGTGTTTGTCACGGGTGAGATGACGGAAACAAACGTGACACATATTCTTCGGCCTATAAATGAATGACGGTTTCTTTTGTTGACAGACTGACAAAGAAAGGTGTTAAGGCTGTAACAATGTTGTTGACTGTCTGAAATCAACAGAAACCCATCACTCCCTGAATACACACACACACACACACAAGACCTAAACCAACTCAATAGAGCCCTCACTTCACTGCTGTGAATAGAGTCATACCACCATGAACAGAGCAGATAAGAGCCCTGCACCTCTATCATGTAGACAATGCTGTAGATAAACTAGATAAACCACACATTGTCTGGGTCAGTAACTCAACCTCATTATAGACCTGAACCACTAACGAGACAGGCACAGGGTAAGTCCTAAATGGCACCCTATTCCCTACATACTGCACTACTTTTCACCAGAGCTATGGCCCTGGTCAAAAGTAGTACACTATATAGGGAATATGTACCATTTGAGACATAGCCACCCTCTCTAGTTTCCACATCTAGTAAACAATCTGCAGTGAAAAGTGTATGTTAGGTAATAACATATTTTTGATGTGATTCTAACTTCCACCCATTGATTCCTGACACTTTTATGAGGTGTCTCTCATCTCATGAGATCTCATAAATGTGATGATCTCTACAGATTGATTTACAACCAGTCAAGCAGTTTCAGCTGTTCTTATCTTCCCACTCAGGTACATACTAAGGGCTGTAACGTCAGTAGTTTCGGTGAGCACCCTACACTACACATTCAAATAGTGCATTCCTGGACATTGACATCCATCCATCCAGTGACACACACACACACACACACACACACACACACACAAACACCCCCAGTGATAGCACACACCTCAAAATGAAAGGACAAACATGTCACCTAGCAGGTCCAGGTAGTGTGAGAGAGAGTGCACATTTGAGTTCAGCAAGGTCAACAAACAGTGTAAACAGACACTGTTAAAAATGATTTTCACCAGTGCCAAGGTACAGTGATGTATAGTCTAGATCAGCATGTGGTGTTGGAAGATGTATCTGAGAATAATCAGAAAATGTGCTGCTTCAAGTGATGAGGGCTGTGATGTGTAGCCAGTGCATTACAGACCTGACAAGGCCTTGTCAGAGAGAACACAATGTGTTTGCTACGGCCTGCATTAGAGCAGAGACGGAAGCAGAGAGGACAGGAGCAAAGCTTGGCAGCTGCCTGCTCATCTCAGCCGAAGGGAAGGCACTCCATAATTAAATGCTGTCTAGACACTGTTACCTGCAGTCCTACCTAGGAGAGGAGAGAGATAGTGTAGGAATTAACTCTCTCTCGCACACACTTACACGCACCACACACCACACACACACAACAGTATTTCTGATGACAATGTTTCATTTAGTACAATTAAATGAAGGAGCATTCAATGATAGCCTATAACAAAAAGCCTTTGTATAACCACAAATAGCCCTAGACTCAGGATCAAGGAAAACAGAAGAAGCTTGCTTTTAGACTTGTTTCAGAAGCATGCTTTTTGTCCCTAGTTGTTCCCTGTAGGAGCAAGGACGTGTTGCCTGGAAACGACTTTGGATGTTTTTTACAGCCTTGAGCAAAGGAGATGGAAAAGTACGAGAAAATCAAAGTGGTCGGAAGAGGAGCTTTTGGGTAAACCAAAAGTTATTAACTTTGAACTTCTTGATGAAACTACACCGCTAAGTCACAGCAATCTTATTCACACTTTGTTTGTGATGTTTAATTTGTCTTCCTGTCAAACTTAAGTTAGAAGTTAAAGTTCGCTGCTTGTCTCCTTTGCCAAATCACGGAATGTAAATATGGTTCAGGCGCGCGCATATTTTAGAAATATAATTATGCACTCATTCTATTTCTATGGCCGCCCTGTCAATATTGTACAATACTAGTACATGATGAGTGCAAAGCTACTGTGTTGTCGTTCTAGTCATAACTGTAATGTGTTATGTTATTTAACCATTATATAAATGGTCAGATTCTAGTGCTAGATTGTTTGCTAATGCCCTCATGCATGAATGCATTACAAAGCACCAATATCAGTGGCAATAATGTACAAGAGTGCACAAGCTAGTAGGCACACTGTAAGGGGATAGCCTACACCAGAACACACTTTCCCAACTCTTCCCCATGCTACTCATTCTCTGCCTTCCCATGTCATGTGTGACAGGATAGTGCACCTGTGTCGCCGGCGCAGTGACGGGGCCTTTGTGATCCTGAAGGAGATCCCAGTAGAGCAGATGTCCCGTGATGAACGCCTTGCCGCCCAGAATGAGTGCCAGGTGCTGAAGCTGCTCAACCACCCCAACATCATAGAGTACTATGAGAACTTCCTGGAGGACAAGGCTCTGATGATCGCTATGGAATATGCACCAGGTACTAGAACATTACCCCCCATTGTTTGTTACATAACACATAAGGTACATAGCTCAGTGTTCTCATGTAAGTCTGACACCTATACTGTAACATAGGGTGTCAAATATGTTTTGCTTGTCAGACGTTCCCCATGAGGTGTTATTCAGTCTCATCAGATGTCAGTCCCTGTTGTAGTGCTTCAGGAGACATATGATAAAGGGCACTGCATTATGTTACATAACTCTGGGTGGCCTGAGAGCATGATCTATTCTGCTGTAACTGTATTATTTTCCTGCTTTCGTACTGTAGGTGGAACCCTAGCTGACTACATTCAGAAGCGCTGTAACTCCCTGCTGGATGAGGACACCATCCTGCACTTCTTTGTCCAGATCCTGCTGGCCCTGTACCATGTGCACAACAAGCTCATCCTACACCGGGACCTGAAGACCCAGAACATTCTGCTTGACAAGCATCAAATGATCGTCAAAATAGGCGACTTTGGAATCTCCAAAATCCTTGTCAGCAAGAGCAAAGCCTACACTGTGAGTGGACATGACGTAGGATTGGTCACCTGACTACATGTAACGGCCAAATGCGTACTCTGATGATAAGCATAGTCATAGGCAGCACTGGCAGTAGAGTTGATCTTTTGTTTTTGTTTTATTTCCATTCAGGTGGTGGGGACCCCATGCTACATCTCTCCGGAGCTGTGTGAGGGGAAGCCCTACAACCAGAAGAGTGATATCTGGGCCCTGGGCTGTGTTCTATATGAGCTAGCCAGCCTCAAGAGAGCTTTCGAGGCTGCTGTACACATCTTTTCATAATGCACTTCATACATTGTCATTCCAATTTCATAAACTGTCCTTGCACTTTGGAATTGTAGATCCAAAAGATCAAAAAATGGCATTGAAGTTAATCATATCTTACATTAGTCTTTGAAGCACTTATCTTTCCATCTCCATGTAAAATGGATTTAATTTGTGGGATGATGCCTAAAGCTTACTGGTCCAAAAGTAAACCCATAAAGAAATCAAGGCATTAGCATAGTTTGAATATTTAACTCCTCTCCGTGGGCTTACTCACACTTCCTTCTCTTACAGAACCTACCTGCCCTAGTGTTGAAGATCATGAGCGGTACCTTTGCCCCGATTTCAGACCGGTACAGCCCAGAACTCAGGCAGCTCATCATGAACATGCTCAACCTGGACCCGTCCAAACGCCCACAGCTCAATGAGATCATGGCCCACCCTGTCTGCATCAGACCCCTGCTCAACCTCTACACTGATATAGGCAACGTCAAAATGCGCAGGTAATGAATGCCACAAAAGTCTATATCCCAAATGGCACACTATTCCCTATACAGTTCACTATATAGAGAATAGAGTGCCATTTTGGATGCAACCAAAGCCTCTAGCTTCTAGTCACCAGACTCATCATAAGAAAACAACATGTATCTGATGTATACATACATTACCATTGATGGAAATGTAGGTATACAATATTCAAAAGACATTTTGATTTCTGGTCCAGAATTGAGAAACCACTGTCCACCGTGCAGTCAGGAGGTCATGGTAGACCAGGAGGGCGAATGACCGGCACAAGGTCATTCAGAGGTCAGTGACATTCCACCCACATCCATGATTGAACCAGTTCTGTAATAATTAACACCTTTAGTATAATGTTCTGTCCTGTATTAGATGGACGGATGGGAACAGGAAAGTTGCACTCCCTCCCCCTGTCATCAGTGTACACATGGGGCAGTGGCATCTCTGCGCCCCTGCGTCTACCCATGCTCAACACAGAGGTGCTGCAGGTGGCCCTGGGACGCACACAGAAGATGGGTGTCACCAAGTCAGGCCGACTCATCACCTGGGAGGTCAGATTGGATTTCTTGATCCCCTTTTCCCTTCTCTGTCTGAAATAGGCTTGTCAACCTCAGTTAGGCTTCATAGATAAATATTTCCCTTAACCAACTAAGCTACTAGCTGCCTCTTTAATACCCTCAGATTATGCATTAGGATGGTTAAAGGCTGATAAGATAAAGGATTTGTTTTTAACAATATGAAAGTGTTATCTGGATAGTCTTTAGTAACACCAGTATTTACACATTTCCTAACCTAATGGTGCCGTGCCAGGCTCCGTCAGTAGGATCTGGTGAGCCCACTCTGCCTGGTGCAGTGGAACAGATGCAGCCGCAGTTCATCTCTCGCTTCCTGGAGGGTCAGTCTGGAGTCACCATCAAGTCTGTGTCCTGTGGGGATCTCTTCACCACCTGTATGACAGGTACAGGCCATAATAGCATCTCAAATTGCACCCTATTCCCTATATAGTGCACTAATTTTGACCAGGGCCCATAGGGCTCTGGTCAAAAGTAGTGCATTTATAGGGAATAGGGTGCCATTTGGGACGCACAGCATCATTGTGTTTCCTGCTGGTGAGGACAGCATCCGTGTCAGATCAGCCTCAGTAGGGGAGCTTCACTATAGGAAATCAATATTTATTCACTGTGTGTTTTTGTTGCCTCACACACACACACACACTGCAGTATATAATACTATCATAAAGCACTGGAGCAGCATTGGAAAGTGTGGATGTAATCACCTCTTTTACTGAACATTCATCAGTGTTTGTGTTCTCCAACCGGGATACACCGTTAGTCACAGTCAGAGTCTTGAGGGAGCTGTCATTAGTCCAATACCAAAAGCAGATAACACAGGATTAAAGAACCTCTCTGAGTCCCAGCTGTATTTCATCACCATTTATCACCGTGGTGGAGCAGAATAGTATTCCCTTGTTAGGGATTAAAACCCAAACTGTTGGCCCACACTGTGATATAGCCATACCCATCAACTCATCGTACCTATAATCTCCTCTATTTATTTTCAATTTGCAGACCGAGGTATTATTATGACGTTTGGAAGCGGAAGCAATGGCTGTCTCGGACATGGGAATGTTAATGACGTAACACAGGTACATTTGAGGTTTGTTATAAACATTATTGTCGTCAGTCGTTCTGGTGAAAAAGCTTCAAATTATTTCTCTGTATGTATTTATGTCCAGCCCAAGATCGTGGAGGCCTTACTCGGATACGAGCTGGTCCAGGTGTCATGTGGTGCTTCCCATGTGCTTGCTGTGACCAATGACAGAGAAGTATTCTCCTGGGGAAGAGGAGACAATGGTAAATGAGCAAGTTTATTTTTGGGGTTGTCAGTCACTCTCTGTCTTCTTGGTTTATGTCAGCAGTGTCTGTGGGAGAGCTTGGCATTCTAACAGAATGTTATGCTTTCTGCCCCCTCATGTTCCCTATCTGGTCCCCTCTGTGGCAGGTCGCCTGGGGCTGGGCACCCAGGACTCCCATAACTGTCCCCAGCAGGTGCGTGTGCCAGGGGAGTTTGAGGCCCACAGGGTGCTGTGTGGAGTGGATTGCTCCATGATTATCAGCACCCAGAACAGCATTCTGGCCTGTGGCAGCAACAGGTAAAGTTACCTTCTCTTATAGGCTACTTAGTAGAATATTTCAGTTCCAGTTAACCAGGAAGCAAACATCCTCTAATAGGATGAAGATGTAACAAACTAGTCTACATTTAAAATCTATTTCCTCCTCTAAACAGATGCTTGTTTTCTAGCCTAAATATTGTGCATTTATTATGACAGTAACAACCTAATTAACATATTCAGTCATTGCATGAAAGTGCTGTGAAATTGCACAGGCTTTCCACAGAGGTCACTGTTAATGCGAGTGATACTTTTCATTAACAACTCACTAAAGAGCAGCGCTCACATTAAAGGTGAAACATGCCCTTGATTTCCACTGCACCAACACCCTGCTTGCTTAAGCACTGACATAGCTCTTCATTGACTTGCTTTGTTGTGTTAAACTAAAGCATGGATGTAGAGATTATGGCATTATCTTCTGGGCCAATATCCAGTGAGGCAGCATTCTCTTACAGTGACAAACACGCTCTCTGATAGTTAACCCATCCACCAGAAATCCTCATGGGCAGGAAGCAGGGTTCTATTACAGCGAGGGTTAGGAGAATGAGCACAGTGCTATCAGACCTGGGTTCAAATACTTGATCTGTGCTTGATTGAGTTTGCCTGGTTTAATGGACCAATATAATATTCTCAAAACTGCAAACCTTGCCTATCTGCCACTACAGACAGGCTAAAGCAAACGCTCATACTATTGGAAAGAATTAAAATAGTATTTGAATCCAGGTCTGAGTGCTATAGCAGGGCAGAGTGTGGTGCTGAGTGGAGACAGCACTGCCCAGATACCTGTGGTTTAGCTACTTCCTGCCCTCCCTAACTCTCTTACCCACTCCATACTGAATATGTATCTGCCTTGAACACAGAACAAGAAACTCCCCCTCAATTAATTCTTACAGAACATGACACAGCATTTCTTAACTGTTCTCCTTACAATTGTGTAGTGTGATATTGTAGAAAACACATTTCAGCTGATAAGGTCAACTGGATCTAGTTTACTTTTAAGATATCAATGTTTCCCTTTTGATACGATTCAAACGTTCTTTAATTAATTCGCCAGAATAGTAATTTTCTTCTAAGGCTGTGTTTACGCAGGCAGCCCACTTCTGATAGTTTTCCAATAATTGGGTTTGGACCAATCAGATCAGATCTTTTGCATGCCAATAATTGGGAAAAAGATCAGAATTGGGCTGTCCATTATCCTATGAACGTGTTGCCATGAAAATAATTGCAACTCCTCTAAATGTGCTTGGTTAGGTTCAACAAGCTGGGATTGGATAAGATCAACGCTGCAGAGGAGCCAGCCCCCTGTGAACAGATTGAAGAAGTCCACTCGTTCAGTCCTGTCCAATCAGCACCGTTGAACGTGGACATGGTTGTTTACATTGACATTGGAACAGCCCACTCTGTTGCTGTCACAGGTTAAATTATATTTTGTCTTCGCCTCGTATGCCTGATATGTCACCATGCAGTTCCTGAACCCATCGTAACTAGAAACCCAAAGTTCCTATAAGCTGCAAGGACGTGACATCCCTGTGTCATGCTTACACAGTAAAACATGTAGCTGTATTGCTATATTGTCCTTTGACAATACACAATATCAATCTTCTTCACACATTTAATTCCCCTGTTCCGTGTGTCCAGAGAAGGGTCAGTGTTTCACGTTTGGTAGTAACCAGCATGGTCAGCTGGGCTGTAGCTCCCGCCGGACCAGTCGTGTGCCCTTCCCGGTGCCGGGCCTACAGGGCATCACCATGGCAGCCTGTGGGGATGCCTTCACTCTAGCCATTGGATCAGGTGTGTAGGGGGCATTGGCAATCAGGGAAGATGCTTTAAGGGGATATTTTCAGTTTATATAAAATATTGGAGAAACGTGATGCCCTCAGTAAACTTTGGATGTTAGATAACGCACTTTATTAGAAGAGCTAATTGAACACTGTACCAATCTGTTTCTGTAATGTCTATGTGAAGGTGCTTTCAGAAAATGCTTTAAGGTCCTTAATATGTTGTAACAGATGTGTATTAGACATTTTCCAAAGGGTAGAGAGTTGTGGAGAATGACACAATACATGTCAGAATGTGTCAATGATCAGCTCAACCTCCCATAGGGAGATGGCAGGCACAGTCACCTCATTGTTCAGGGCTGGCTTTGTTCAGCTCTGCTCTCCCAGGGATAGATAGAGCCATTATGCTGGCATGGCAGGAGAGGAGAGGAGAAGAGAGGGGAGGGGAGGAGAAGAGAGGAGAAGAGAGGGCAGGGGAGAAGAGGTATAAGGAGAGGAGAGGGGAGGGGGAGAGTGGGGAGGGGAGGGGAGGGGGAGAGAGGAGAAGAGAGGGCTGTCTGTTAAGGATTGTGCAGATTCATGAATCCTGGGGTGTGCGCTGAAGAACGTAACTATTCTGTTCTCTCTATCTTGGTGTAGAAGGGGAGGTGTATACCTGGGGAAAGGGGGCCCGTGGCCGCCTCGGAAGAAAAGAGGAGGATTCTGGGATACCAAAGGCAGTGCTGCTCGACGAGAGCCACCCGTTCACGGTGACGTCGGTGGCCTGTTGTCATGGCAACACTCTACTGGCAGTGAAACGTAATAGTTTACCTATTAACTTTTTGTTAAACAAAATGATGTGAAATTGCCAGTAGCACATACTGTTTGTGGTGAAATCAAACAGCAATCACTAATCCCGGGATGAAAGAAAAGTGAAATTTGAGATAAGCTCTTTAGATGATGCTGACAGAGATCCATGTTTTTTTCCTTGTAGAACAGAAGGTCTGAAAGAGCCTATTTGTTAATAGCTTGATAATTAGCTAACCCCACAATGCAGATTTACCTGTAGCTTTCTCCCAGTCAGTCAATTCGGAAGTGACCACCAAGCCCCATGTTTGGCTTTTTGTTTCTCCATAGCCTCAGGGACTGTAGTAACAGAGGCTCATTAACGGTGGATGAGGCAATCAGTTGTGTCTTGCTCTCCACAAGCAATAAAATGAACAACAGGGGCCTGCCTCCCTGTCATGCTTAGCTCGTTAGCCATTGGGGAGATGAGCTGGGGTTAGCTCTGTCTATAAACCTGAATGTAAAATCCAGTGTCTCTGATAATAGGCATCCTCTGTGCCATCTCCACAAAACCAGGCAGAGGGTTGGTTAGGTTGTATGTCTGTATCCATTTACACCAGTAATCATTTACTCACATTTCACTATTACCTTACTCTGCACATTTATAGTTATTGATTTCAGGTTGCTTGCATGCAGTTTATGGATCTTCAGGTAATGTGAATAGTTCCCCAACCTCAATAAGATAATGTATTATCCAGCCTGTGAGTAATGGTCCCTCTCATCAGGAATAGCGGACAAGCTAGCAATTCCTCTGCTTTAAAACAATGATGGTTTCCCAAATGGCACCCTATTCCCTTTGTAGTGCACTAGTATTGACCAGAGCCTGTAGGGCTCTGATCAAAAGTACTGCACTATATACGGAATAGGGTGCCAATTGGGACGCAACCAATATCTATTAAAATGACGCATGGATTAAACTAAAGCAACCCTCCCATTAACAATAGATGCAGATTTAGAAAGATTAAATTGCACATAAAATCTAATCAGTAAGTAAGAGAGACGTCTCTAATCTTTGGAAGAGACCCAAGTTACAGTCCTGTTCCAGTGTAACTCTGACCTGGCTGCGTACCATGTGGTAGTGACCTGAAACGCCAACACAGTAGCCAGAGTGCCCTCACACAGGTCATTTCACCCACATTTGACTTCCATGGGGTTTGTTATTTTATCAATGTATGAGTAGTACATTAGTCCAGATACAGTATGACTAAATCCATGGTAGACAATGGCAGTGTGTAGGCATTCGAAACATTCTTGTGCCACCACACCTACTGCATTGTGTCTAAGTGAAATAATCAAGAAGTAAATGTGGGTGTATCTACAGTACCAGTCAAACATTTGAACACACCTACTCATTCAAGGGTTTTTCTTAATTTTTTTACTATTTTCTACATTGTAGAATAATAGTGAAGACATCAAAACTATGAAATAACACATATGGAATCATGTAGTAACCAAAAAAGTGTTACACAAATCAAAATATATTTTATATTTGAGATCCTTCAAATAGCCACCCTTTGCCTTGATGACAGCTTTGCACACTCTTGGCATTCTCTCAACCAGCTTCACCTGACATGCTTTTCCAACAGTCTTGAAGGAGTTCCCACATATGCTGAGCATTTGTTGGCTGCTTTTCCTTCACTCTGCCGTCCGACTCATCCCAAACCATCTCAATTGGGTTGAAGTCGGGGGATTGTGGAGGCCAGGTCATCTGATGCAGCACTCCATCACTCTCCTTCTTGGTAAAATAGCCCTTACACAGCCTGGAGGTATGTTGGGTCAATGTCCTGTTGAAAAACAAATGATAGTCCCACTAAGCCCAAACCAGATGGGATGGTGTATCGCTGCAGAATGCTGTGGTAGCCATGCTGGTTAAGTGTGCCTTGAATTCTAAATAAATCATAGACAGTGTCACCTGCAAAGCACCCCCACACCATAACACCTCCTCCTCCATGCTTTACGGTGGGAACTACACATGCGGAAATCATCCGTTCACCCGCACCGCGTCTCACAAAGACACGGCGGTTGGAACCAAAAATCTCCAATTTGGACTCCAGACCAAAGGACAAATTTCCACCGGTCTAATGTCCATTGCTCGTGTTTCTTGGCCCAAGTAGGTCTCTTCTTCTTACTGGTGTCCTTTAGTAGTGGTTTCTTTGCAGAAATTCTACCATGAAGGCCTGATTCACACAGTCCCCTCTGAATAGTTGATGTTGAGATGTGTCTGTGACTTGAACTCTGTGAAGCATTTATTTGGGCTGCAATTTCTGAGGCTGGTAACTCTAATGAACTTATCCTCTGCAGCAGAGGTAACTCTGGGCCTTCCATTCCTGTGGTGGTCCTCATGAGAGCCAGTTTCATCATAGCGCTTGATGGTTTTTGCGACTGCACTTGAAGAAACATTCAAAGTTCTTGAAATGTTCCGTATTGACTGTCCTTCATGTCTTAAAGTAATGATGGACTGTCGTTTCTCTTTGCTTATTTGAGCTGTTCTTGCCGTAATATGGACTTGGTGTTTTACCAAATAGGGCTATCTTCTGTACCTTGTCACAACACAACTGATTGGCTCAACCGCATTAAGAAGGAAAGAAATTCCACAAATTAACTTTTAAGAAGGCACACCTGTTAATTGAAATGCATTCCAGGTGACTACCTCATTAAGCTGGTTGAGAGAATGCCAGGAGTGTGCAAAGCTGTCATCAAGGCAAAGGGTGTCACAAACCTTTGACTGGTAGTGTATATCTAAAATACATGAGGGAAATAATTCAATACCTTTCCTGAAACCTTTTACAAGACTCAGTCCCCTTATAGTATGTAACTGTACACATGCAGGCATTGTGTAAGATGGTATATTCTTGTCTGTCTTTAGTGCTAATGTAAGTGATATGTTGATGGCTTCTCTGATTACTCTTCTCTTTCTTAGCTTTGCTTGAGGAAGCCGTCCCCAGATGATACAGCTCTGTAAACCATCCCACCACCGTCCACCCCTTCGGTAGCGGTCAAGAGAGAAACAGTGGCACAAGGTGAAGGACTGCTAGACTCCGCTGAATAACCTCTTCCAGTGGCCTGTCCTTTACTAAGCCTTTAGAGGATTCCTGCACATCTTAAATAGTTTCAGTTGCTCTGTCTCAAGTCAGTTTATATTAACTTTTAATGTTATGTTTTTCATACAGTATTATGTAAACGGTGGTGCCTTATTAATGGCACAATTTATGGAACAAATGCAAATAATTCAAAACTTTTCATTTTAGAAGCTATTTAGCTTCCTAAGCTTGTGTAGCTGGTAGCTAATAGAATGCTCTACCAAAAGTATTGGAGTGAGATTGCAGGAGGAAGTCATTGGGGAGCTGTCATGCAGTAAGGCTTTGTCTTCTCTCACCAGCGAGGTTAGCATGATACAACACACAGTCCCAGGATGTCTAACTGGTTTGGTAGCTTTATTTACCCAGTATTGAGTTAGGCAAAACAGTGTGTGTGAAGAAGAAAGGCTGCTTGTTTAGGACTGCCACTACAGTGTGAGCCGACTTGTCAGTCAAATGAAGCAAACAAGTACGGCACTTTAAATCTTGAGCACATTATCAGTTCTCTCATTGTGCTTTTAGGATTAGTCCTCATCAATTGGATTAGTAACTTTTGTTTTCATTCACAATAACAGATGGTTTGTTTAGTGTCATAGTAAGGTACTTTTACACAACACATGAACAGTGAAAGTTTCTTTAAGACTGTTGACTAAAGGAGGCCACTTCTATAGTAAATGCAATTCAAGACACATAGACCTTTCAACCCTCAAGTGTTCATAGATTGTTTAAGATTTTTGATGTGGAAGTGTCACTAACAAAGCATGGCACAGGTGTGAGAGACACATTAAGAGTCAATATTGTCTCTTCAGCTGTGTGTGTGTCGTAGGCATGAGTCAGTTTGATATGATGTGCTTAATTAGAACACTGGCTTCATCCCAAAGGGCACCCTATTCTCTACATAGTGCACTACTTTTGAACAGAGCCATATGGGCCCTGGTCAAAAATAGTGCACTATATAGGGAAAAGGGTGCTATTTGGGACGCATGCACTGGCTTGATCTTACTCGGGAAAGCCTCCAAACAGGCTGGGATGGTAAGTGCTCCAGACAGAGGAAATCAATGTTATTGGCCTTCTCTTTACTATCGCTCTGTCACCCACTCTAGTATCAGTGATGTAGTGGTAAAAAAATTGGTGGGTAAACTGATCGCCGGTCGCGGTGAAAAAAGTTACTCTCCCTATACTTTCAATGCATTTTCCCCCAAAAGGTGGGTCACTGTCTAGTATCCAAGATTATGATTTCCAAGCAGATTTTTTGTTTTCCATATTGGAAGAGATGTGAATATGATTCATGTTAGTGGTTTGCCTGCAGTATTGCTAATTTGCCAAAACAATCCTATTCATTTATCTTATGTGTGGTACCACTGACAGGTTTTTCGTAACAAAATATGAAGTATCTTATTTATCAATCATTATGTAACAGATACAATGTGTATTTGCACTGTTATTACATAGTTACTGCCTTTGTTGTTGGTATATGAATATGCCATTTTATAAATTCTGTGAAATAAGAGGGAATGGTATTTTCTTGTGTTTCATTATACATACCAGATAATTGATTAACAGTGAATAGGACGCCTATTGTATGTAATACAATGCCCACTTTTCTGTAACATCAACCAAATGAGAAATGAATAAGGGAAAGACATTTGAAACGTATATTCTTTGTTTGGGTTGCTATGTCATGTCAGATTACTTATAGTAAATACTGAGCTAAATAATCTGTATTGATTGTGATGAATTGAGGCAGCAATAAATCAGGAGTTAGAAAAAGTAGAAAACATGTATTGGTTTGTTCATGATTTCTATAAATCTACTGTGTATATATAGATATAGAATGTATATAGAGCCCCACAGTGGAGGTGTCATAATACCCATAAAACCTAGCGGTCAAACTGAAATGGTTCCAATCGTTTTTCCACCATACAATTTTCCCATAGGGGACTTTAGAAACACTTAAAATAAGGGCTGTGTTTCGTGTAGGCTTATCCTGGCGTGACGTTTTGATAACCATGTAAATCTCTCTCAGACAAGGTGACTTTTATCAATATATTCGAAGTAGACATCATGCAAACCTACAAATCCCTGCAAGCTTCTGCACATCATTTCTAGCTGACACCTTTGCTAACAGGTATTGTGTCAATTTAAAACTTGCACAAGACAGTTCTCAGAATTGTCCATTTAAAGAAATGTTGCTAACATTAGATAGTTAATGCAGAGATTCTTACCTTTGCCTCGATTCGGCACGTCCAGATCATCATGGCATTTGTAGTTTTTTATGATAGCCACATTAGCAGCTAATTAGCATTTCATTTTTGGCTGATAAATACAGGCGAATATATTGATAAAAGTCACCTTGTCCTGGAGAAATTTACATGGTTATTTAAAGGTCACGCCTGGGTAAGCCTACACAAAACACAGCCTTGATTTGAAGGGTTTCTAAAATCCCCTATGGGAAAAATGAATGGTGGAAAAACGATTGGAACCATTTCCCTGTTTGACCGCTAGATTTTATGGGTACTATGACTCATACTGTGGTACTCTATTGATGACAGGGTCTATGATTTAGTAATACTACAATGCTGTGGCGGGTTTTCGCCAGTTATTTGAAGAAAGCACATGTGGCTGTGCCTGTGTGATGATGTAATCCTGAAGCAACAAGGTTGGTGATGACAACCTATGGTATTGAATAATTGTAAATGGACACAATTGTAATGATTTTAAAGACAAATTGTTGTCCTGCCATTTGAAACCACTTCCGACAATTATCGAAGTCAATGTTTCATATTGATGATCATATTTATCTGCAATTTATGAATATCAGGCTCTTCTTTTTCACGTTCACCACCAGAGGGCAGCTGTTCCTAATTAGTGATTAATGTGTCTACTTAGGGTCAATTAATCAATATATGTTATGTTTTCTGTGCAGACTTTAGGATATGTCAAAACATATGTAACTTTTTTATTCAACATTAGATACTGTATCTGTACCCTTTAAGTGAACATGCTCATTTCAAGCTATTAAATCAAGCCACATAATTTGCAGGTGAAAGCCTACATTATTTCCATTCATTTTAGATTGATATCATTCATCTCATAAAAAGAGAGTTGAATTAAATAGCTGACAAATAAATCAAATCAGAGGAGAAGATGTAATTGACCCATAGCATAGAAAAGCAGATAGGCTATGTTGATTTCACTTTCGACTCCTCCCGCAAGAAAAATAGTAGGCGGGGCTATGTACCTAAACAGATGGGATGAGAGCATTGTCTTCAATCTGTCAGTGTTACCTCTGCGGAGAGACATGCGGAAGATTTTCCTGCATTTGTAGACCCAGAGGAAGATTGTCAGAAGAAGACATCGCCAGGTTTGTATGCAATACCGTTTGTACTGTCGAGGATTCCCTTTGTTTCCATGCACTCGGTCACCCGTTTGCTGGAGAGACGGCGGAGCTGAATCGGTCAATACTTTCGTCTCGCAAACCGATCTGTCTCTGACTGGCGAAGGGGACATTAATATTGGAGAATCTCTCTGCTGACGGCCATCAGAAGAGAGACATTGGTGGCATCATACCACAAATCGCGCAAGTGGACAGGACACAGAGGCGAAGGGAGAGACATTCATCTGTAGTGTATTTCTATTAATCCTGTAGCAATGCCGGGGTTTGATTACAAGTTTCTGGAGAAACCGAAGAGACGGTTTCAATGTCCCTTATGCAGTAAAGCCATGCGCGAGCCTGTTCAAGTTTCTACGTGTGGCCACCGATTTTGTGACACATGTCTACAAGAATTTTTAAGGTAAACTGCTGGTCTGTGTCTGTCTCTCTCTCTGTGTGTCTGTCTCTCTCTCTGTGTGTCTGTCTCTCTCTGTGTGTGTGTCTGTCTCTGTGTGTGTATGACTCTCTGTGTGTGTCTCTCTGTTTGTGTCTGTCTGTCTCTGTGTGTGTGTGTCATAGTCCAGACACAGAGCGATTAGGCTATTGGATTGCAAATAATGATATTATGTTGTAATGTGTTCTGTATACACATTACCTCTCTCTCTCTCTCTCTCTCTCTCTCTCTCTCTCTCTCTCTGTGTGTGTGTGTAGGCTACATTTACATTTTAGTCATTTAGCAGACATGTGTCTTGTCTATAGGTCACACTATATGAACTAATCATGAATGTCAAGTTTTGGTTGGAAAGTATAAATCTAAACATATCCTGTAGGCGTGTCCTTCCTTTGTAAGGCCTGTGCACTCACAGGTGAAGCAACAATATAGGTAAAAGGAAGTGGTGGTGGCTTAAACCCTTAAACCAGTGGTATTCAAAGTCAGAGTCGAAATGCAAAACAAAATGCAAAAAGAAAATGCCAAAAAAACAACAAATAAATAAATAAATGAATATATACAGTTATAAGTTTACATACACTTAGGTTGGAGTCATTAAAACTCGTTTTTCAACCACTCCACAAATTTCTTGTTAACAAACTATAGTTTTGGCAAGTCGGTTAGGACATCTACTTTGTGAATTTTTCCAACAATTGTTTACAGACAGATTATTTCACTTATAATTCACTGTATCACAATTCCAGTGGGTCAGAAGATTACATACACTAAGTTGACTGTGCCTTTAAACAGCTTAGAAAATTCCAGAAAATGATGTCATGGCTTTAGAAGATTCTGATAGGCTAATTGACATCATTTGAGTCAATTGGAAGTGTACCTGTGGATCTATTTCAAGGCCTACCTTCAAACTCAGTGCCTCTTTGCTTGACATCATGGGAAAATCAAAAGAAATCAGCCAAGACCTCAGAAATTTTTTTGTAGACCTCCACAAGTCTGGTTCATCCTTGGGAGCAATTTCCAAATGCCTGAAGGTACCACGTTCATCTGTACAAACAATAGTACGCAAGTATAAACACCATGGGACCACGCAGCCGTCATACCGCTCAGGAAGGAGACGCGTTCTGTCTCCTAGAGATTAACGTACTTTGGTGTGCGAAAAGTGCAAATAAATCCCAGAACAACAGCAAAGGACCTTGTGAAGATGCTGGAGGAAACCGGTACAAAAGTATCTATATCCACAGTAAAACGGGTCCTATATCGACATAACCTGAAAGGCCGCTCAGCAAGGAAGAAACCACTGCTCCAAAACCGCCATAAAAAAAGCCAGACTGCGGTTTGCAACTGCACATGGGGACAAATATCGTACTTTTTGGAGAAATGTCCTCTGGTCTGATGAAACAAAAATAGAACTGTTTGGCCATAATGACCAACGTTATGTTTGGAGGAAAAAGGGGGTGGCTTGCAAGCCGAAGAACACCATCCCAACTGTGAAGCACGGGGGTGGCAGCATCATGCTGTGGGGGTGCTTTGCTACAGGAGGGACTGGTGCACTTCACAAAATAGATGGTATCATGAGGAAGGAAAATTATGTGGATATATTGAAGCAACATCTCAAGACATCAGTCAGGAAGTTAAAGCTTGGTCGCAAATGGGTCTTCCAAATGGACAATGACCCCAAGCATACTTCCAAAGTTGTGGTAAAATGGCTTAAGGACAACAAAGTCAAGGTATTGGACTGTCCATCACAAAGCCCTGACCTCAATCCTATAGAAAATGTGTGGGCAGAACTGAAAAAGTGTGTGCGAGCAAGGAGGACTACAAACCTGACTCAGTTACACCAGCTCTGTCAGGAGGAATGGGCCAAAATTCACACAACTTATTGTGGGAAGCTTGTGGAAGGCTACCTGAAATGTTTGACCCAAGTTAAACAATTTAAAGGCAATGCTACCAAATACTAATTGAGTGTATGTAAACTTCTGACCCACTGGGAATGTGATGAAATAAATAAAAGCTTAAATAAATAATTCTCTACTATTATTCTGACATTTCACATTCTTAGAATAAAGTGGTGATCCTAACGGATTTAAGACAGGGAATTTTTACTAGGATTAAATGTCAGGAATTGTGAAAAACTGAGTTTAAGGTGTA